GCTCACGTCCGAGCAATGCCAAGGGAACTGAGTTCCCCGGGCGGCCGCTGCGCCTCTTTCGTCAGCTCTGCTTCTCGCTGTGGCCTGGGGCTCTGCTTCCTGCGTGCGCGGGCGGGCGCGCACTCGTGGACGAGGTGTCGCACTGCGTCAAGTCAGTTGTTTGCGCTGGCATAGCGAGCTTGCCAGTAGAGGCGAATGGTAAAACATCCTCCTCCTTCTCTTCCTCATCCTCCTCCTCCTTCTCCTCCTGGAGTCCTCCTCCTCCTCCTCCTCCCTCTCCCTTTCCTCCTCCTCCTCCTCCTCCTCCTCCTCCTCTCCTCCTCCTCCTCCTCCTCCTCCTCCTCCTCCTCCCCGCGGTCCTCCTCCCTCCTCCTCTCCTCCTCCTCCTCCTCCTCCTCCTCCTCCGAGGCCAGGAGGTGGTCCTCCTCCTCCTCTCCTCCTCCCTCCTCTCCTCCTCCTCCTCCTCTTCCTCCCTCGCCTATTTCTTGTCCTCCTCCTCCTCCTCCTCCTCCTCCTCCTCCTCCATCCCCCTCCTCCCTCCCCTCACTGGACGGCGGGTCCTGGGGATGGGGGTTCCCCTGGGCGTTCTTCGAGCCGCCGCAGCCCCAGACGGGATCCCGGGGCCGCCAGAGAGCGACTCGAGATGAAGGGCTGGTCCCGCAGGAAAGCCCGCGGGGGCTTGGGGCCCGTTGCCCCTGTCAGGGGCCTCCTGGATGGGGTCTGGGTAGATGGCGTCGGAGGATTGCACCACCGCATCGCCGATGTATCGCCGATGCGCCGGCGATGCATCGGCGACGCAGCGGCGACACATCGGCGACGCATCGGCGCCATCGGCGTGGAGAAAATCGGGCTCCACATCGAGACACATCGCCGATGCATCGGCGACGCGGGGCGATCCTGCGACTCCATCCACTCGGACCCCGTCTGGAGGCCCAGGCCTCACCACCCCTTTCCCCCGTGGAGGAGGTCGGGCCTCGGGGTGCAGGGGGCAGCCCCTGTGCTGGTCTGTCGCGGTAGCCGGCCCGGGCGGTCACCCCGGCCAAGCGCGCGCACACGTCTGGCGGGTGCCTCGCCGGGTCGGGCTGGAGCGTCGCGGGACCGCCTCGGTGGTGCACCAGCGCCTTCGAGGGTGTTCAAAACCCGCACTTTGCTGATTACCGCGATTGCGTTCCGTGTGGCATGGTGCACTTGATGTGTACAGCATGCGAAGGCATCCGTGTGTGGATTCTTCTCGTCGGCGTGCCTCCAGGGGCTTCCTGTGTGCCCCCGCGTGTAGTCGCATGACTTCGCCGGGAGCAAGAAGCCCCCGCGGCGGGCCAAGATGGCCCCAAGGGGCCCTCAAGACGGTTCAACAGGGCCACGAGTCGGCCCAAGAGAGCTCCAAGATGAGCCTCAAGACGCCAAGAGGGCTGCAAGAGGACCACCAAGAGGCCAAACTCACGTTGACTTGCCTTTGGTTTTGAACGATGTTCGCATTTTTTCTTTTTCAAACTTTCGACGCCTCGAGAAGGCCCAAGCTGTCCCAAAGATCGCCTGAAGACGGCACAAGAGGACCCCAAGAAGGGCCCCAGGCAGTACAAGAGGGCTTCAAGACGGGCCAGGAGAACCCCAAGACGGCCAAAAAGGGCCCCAAGAGCGGCCCAAGAGAGGTCCCAAAGGGGAACATGAACCGCCAGGAAGATGATCCCCGAGACCGCCAGCAGGCCCTCAAGAGGCCCACATAAGCTTCAGGAGGCCCCCACAAGAACCAAATCACGCCCCCGGAGGCCCCCAAGCAAGAGGCCCCCAAGACACACAAAACCGCCTCCAAGAGGCTCCCGGGATGCCTCCCACGAGATCCCCGCAGACACCCAAGAGGCCTGCACGGTGGAAGACTGAGCCAAAAACCATGAGATATTCGTATATCCGCCACCGTGCCGCTGGGCACTCAGTAACATGTCCTTACGAATATTATATTGGTGGTCGACAGGGCCAACTGTTGTACCTGTTCCGTTTTGCAAATTTCGTCTTATGTCTTGCGCCGTGTCTGTTCCAGCTCCGTCGCCGTGTTCTTCCCGGTTCTGGTCCTGGCTCTAATCCCGGAGCCATTCTGTCCCCGTCCCCAGTCGCCATCTTTTTACCATTTCCGTTCTCATCAAGAGGCACATGTTTTGGGAAGCGGTGACTTGTTTTTCGGAAGCGGTGGACAAAAATACAGTCCTGCCGCTTCCGAGGCCAACTCAGTCCTCAACTCGCCATCGCTTGGACGTCCATTCCCCGTGCATGTTTCTGCGTCGCGCGCAACTTCTTCGCAAGATGATCCAAGATGTTCCTCGATGGTCCTCGCCCCCACAAGCTGCAGACGTCTGAGCAGTGTCCAGTCAAGTCCCCGAGAGTCCTCTGCACAAGATATTGAAGCAACGCTCGCCGGGGCCCGCAGCCCCGAGTGCCAGGCGCCTGTGGGTGCTCTCCTCGTGGCTTCCCGCGCGCTCGCACGCGCTGTCGCGTGTCTCTGTTCAGGAGGGAAGAGGGCCCCAGAACCCGGAAGGGGCCAGGAGGGACCCGAGCTTAGCTGCCCCGATGCGCAGGACGCAGCCCGTAGCGTGTTGGCACGGAGCTCAGCACGTGGACTGAATACGTAGGTCTGGCGCGATACGTTCGCCACAGCGTGGGCCAACACGTGCAGAGCCAGCACGCAGCGAGTTGACACGGACGCTTTGAACACGGCACGTGTTGCGTTTCAACGTGGGCGTATCAGCGCGGCTCAGGATCCAAGCATTCTCCAAGATGGTCCGAAGGAGCCCCCAGACGGCCCAATAGCTCTTCAGGACGCCGGAGATGGCCTCGGGACGGCCCAAAGAAGCCCCCGAACGCCCGAAGAGGGCTCCAGGAGGAGCCCCAAGAGATCACGCCAAGAGGCCAACCACGTATAGTTCCAGAATGTATTGCAAGGATTTTGGCCTCCTCGCCTCTGCAAGCTCCAGACGCTTCATGACGGTTCAAGAGCCTCCCGAGATCGCCCCAAGACGGCCCCAACAGGCTCCCAAGGGGGTCCCCAAACGGCCCAAGAGTGACCGGCAGCAGGCCCAGAGAGGCCCCTCAGAAGCCCCAAGAGGCCTCCAAGAGGCCTCAATCTGGCCACGTGGGGGCCTCGAGAGGTCCCCCAAACGCCGCTCAAATCGCCTCCAGGCGGCTTTCGACTTGCCTCCCACCGCAGGCAGCCAAGATGCCTCTGACCTACACCCCAGGCGCGGTGGCGGCATGAAACGAGTGCCGCTAGATAGCCTCTCGACGCGGAGATCCCAAGATGTGCGTGTGTGTGTGCACCTCAGATCCTGGCGCTCCCGTATATGAGCGTCTGAAAAGATAATCCTATCATGTGGCGTCTGAGCGTTCCCTGGCGGCTCCCCTTTGGGGAGCCCAAGTGCTACACATTCTACATCGGGATGGTCTTGGGACTCTGGATGTAGGAAGGGTCGGGGTTGCCCAAACCAGCTCTTCGCCTGAAGTTTCCCACGATCTGGGCGCAAACTGGCAACCCTGATGCCAGCCTGCTACATCTCGATGGTTGAATGTTTGTTTCCCGTCGGCCTTCTTCCCAGGAGGGAGGGCTGGACCCCAGCCCCCCCTGGAGGCCGCGCCGTCGGCGGAGACCGGGGGCCGGGGCCGAAGAGCCTGGCCCGCCCAAGGGGGCAAGCACGGGGCCCGCCGGGGGCCCAGCATGTGGCCCCTGGAAGATGCGGGCTTGCATGTAGAGCAGGAGCTCGATCACAAGAGACCGTCCAGAAGAAGCCCAACCCTGAGACCCCGGGGCGTCCATTGACCTATGGTGTGAGAACGTCACACTCTCCATCGCAAAACCATCGACGCCCAAGAAACCCAGGGCACCCTGGAGGCAAGCAGGGTGGTTCTTGGCATAGGCTTCCACTGTAAGCAGTGACTTTTCAAGACGTCCTCAACCGATGCGGGCTCTGGTCCCAGGGGGCTTGTGACTACCTACCAGACCACCCCAACCCAACCCGAAGACCCGAATTTGACCCGAATTTCGGGTTGGCGGGGGCACGGGTTCCATGTGTTTTTCCAATGTTCCCCGACCCCCCCCCACTGGACATGGAGGGAAAATTGAGGCCTTCGGGTTGGGTTGGGGTCGTTTGGTGGGTGGTGAGCTTGGTAGCAACGCCGAGCACCTCCAGCGATCTCCCCGACCTGGCCCGCACGCGGTGCCGCCAGTGACGAAGGCTGCGCGACAGCTCCACCACGGCCATGGCAGACCGACGCGGGAGGGGGGGAAAACCAAGCGAGGCTGCTGGAAACACCTGCTCAGATCGGCTGATCCATGGATGCAGGGGCCCCAGGACACACACACATAAATACATAGAAATAAAACTATTCCCCATATTTCCTCATATTTTCTGAGGTTTTGTCTTCCCCCCCACTTCCCATATTTTCCCACATTTTCCTGGGCGTCGACGATTAATTGTGTCTGTGTGTGTTTTCCCCTCCTGAACGAAGGCGTCCCAAGCAGACCAGCCACATGTCATGATTTCCAGCACCCTTGCTTGGTTAATGGCAACAGGTCGGGTATGCAGCAGGCTCGAACAGAGAAAGCTCCAGCGCACAACATGTATCGTTGCTGTGCCCACGCGCGCAACAACCACAACAACAACAACAGCAGCAACAGCAACAACTACAACAACAACAACAACATCAACAACAACATCAACAACAACAACAACAACAGCACCACCAACACCAACAACAACAACAACAACAACAACAACAACAACAACAGCAACAACAGCATTAACAACAACATCAACAACAGCAGCAACAACAACAACAAAAACAATACATGCCATCCCTCATGTGCGCCAAAGCTGTGATGGTGAAGAACAACTGCTTACATGATGGGCAGCGTCGGAACGATAAGCTAACTAATGAGGACAAGTGGCACAAACCCCTGCATTCACAAATTTGCACTCATGCGTCGGTGATCGCCTGCTTGCGTCCCTGGCTGGCTGTCTGGTTGCGTGCTTGCACAATCGCGCGAACACACGCAAGCGAGAACGTGCGCAATTCCGTATTTTCCGACATGCTTGTATGTTGGGAATTTTGCGTGTCCACGCCTGTCAAGGTGTGTGTATTCGTTCGGGCCTCCAATTCGAGGACGCGCGTGGATCGTGGCAAGCGAGCCGCGCACGAGGGACACGAATCATCACCAACGAGACACACACGACCACAGTACGCCTAAGTGTATGGGCGGTGCACGCGAACGCCGCGTGGACCCTCTGGATGCTGCAGAAATGCACAACGCGGAGCAAAAAGAAGCGTTGGAGCAGGTACGCAGAAGAGACTTCTGCATGATTGGCTCACCTGGCGCGCCTTGAGCACGTGGCGCCCGTGGCGCACGTGGTGCCCACGACACAGACACACATTGAGTCAGCGGTGCAGAGGGCCCTCAGGCGCGAGCAGCAGGTGGAAGTGCTGATTGCGAACGAGCAGTGTCGCTAGCGCACCGCATAAGCGTCGAACGCTCACGACACACACACACACACACACACATACATGCACACACAGAGAAGTAGCATGTCGGGGGCACGCCTGGCGCGCTTCGGCACCTGGCTCACTTGGAGCGCCCGTCGCGCGCGCTGCACCCCGCGAGCACGCGCCGCACCTGACCGTCCACCGGGTGGCGTTCGCTGCCCGTGCGCGGGCGAGACGCATCTCCGTATCCGCGGCCTCGCGGGCCAGGCCCCTGGATTCGCGGCCCTGCGGCCACGGGGCGCTTCCTCGCGGATGCCCCGCGTGGAGCTCGCCATCGCGCGGACGTTCATTCCCCGTTCATGTCTCGGTTCCGTGCGTTTACTTTCCGCACGACGATCCGAGATGCTCCTCGATGCTCCCCGCCGAGAAATGCACACGTCCGAGCGATGCCAAGGGAAAGTACCAAAACGACCGCGTATCCGCGGGATCGCGCCCTGGAATCCAGACCGCGAGGGCGCGGATACGGATGTATTCGCCGCTCGTGCCCTATGTTGAGACTGGGGTAGTACGTCTGTGACGGGAGGGCGTGCGGGAGTGAGCGAGACAGCTCGTGGCGTTCGTGTTCGAACGTTGACCACATCGTCCTATTCCAAGGGTATGGTGTGGTGGACGGGTGGGCGCGTGTCCTGAGGGACTATGCTTTTGCTCCATGCCCAACACAGAACCCGAAGAGAACCCCCAAGATTGCTGACAGAGACCTCCGACAGGCTCCCAGAGAGACCCGCGTTGGTCATTGTTGGAAGCATTTCGGGCTGATCTCAAGCTCGGTCTGACTAGCGTCTTCCGTGTTAGGGTACTGATACCCTTCAAATTCATTACATCTCACCTGTGAACCTCTTCTGGGTAGGATGGTGCAGCTACGTGAAACGCCTCGAGCTGCTTCCCAAACATTGCACAACGCAAGTTGCACCCCGTAGCGTCAACACGACTTACAGCTTGGGGACTTTACAAGCGGCCCGGGACCAAACTGTCAAGCAGGGAATCCCATATCGATGAGTGGAAAACGTCAGGTCAGCCAAAGGAAGGAGAATAGATGGGGCGCGCGTGAAACAGCTGCGCAGTGCATTGCGATGCACACGGCACAGGAGATCACGCGAAATAAGAGAGACAGGCGCGCCTGGTCAGGAGGCAGGCATGCCTTCACTCCTCGCCCCCTTCCTGTCGGCGCAGGTGCATGTCTCAGCGGCAAGGGTGCTCGCATGTGAATGAAGAAGCGCGCGTGCATGTGCGATCGAACCGTGTCGACCTCCTCTCGCTGCCAGGTGGGCGCCTAACTCGGCCTGCGGTGGGCGCCCAACTACACGGCGCTTCGCATGGTCCGGGAGGGCCAGGCGCTCGGCGACCCGTGGGTGCCCACGCGCGGCTGCTGCAGGGCTGCCCGCCGGCGGGCGCTCCCTCGGGTGCGCCGCGCTGGTGCGACCGGCGACGAGCTCCGCGGGCGCGCTTACGTACGTCGACTTCACCGTGTGGCAGCGGGCCGCGGCGGGGCTCGGTGCGGAGGCGGCCGAGGAGGTGCGGCAGGCGCTGCGCGCCACGGAGGCCCTCGAGCACGCGACGGATTGGCAGCTCAGTCGCAAAAGGAACGCTCGTGTCGCTCGAGCCCGAGCCTTGCGACAGTGGCTCGCCGCGCAGAGCCCCGGCGTCCAGGCGAGGCCGACCACCCGTGACTCGGGTGTCGTCGCCGCCGCCGGCCGGGGCCGCCGTTGCGCTGTGCCGGCCGTGCGACTCCGCGGCTTGCAAGGCCGTCTCGGGCGGCTCGGGCGCCTGCTGGTGGGCTTCGGCCAGCGCTGCCTGCTGAGGCCAGCGGCGGGCACGGCCGCTGGGCTGTACGGAGCTGCTTGCGGCCCGCCGCCGGCGAAGGAACCCTCTGGCCTCCGCACGGCTGCGCGCCGCCGCCGACATGGTCTGCGGCACACTCGGCACGGGCTGGAGGCTGGACCCCGTGGCGGTGGTGATGATCGCGCCGCCGTGGCAAGCTGCGAACTGTCTCCGGCACGGCCGCTTTCCCGCCGAGCTGTGGAGGCAGACTGCGGGGCCCTGGCAGCGGGGCACGGCCGCGGCGCCGGGCCAGTCGCGGCCGCCCTCCAGAGCCTGACAGAGCTGCAACTCGGGTCCGACATCGAGTGCTGGACCGGCGTGCCAGCCGCGCCTGGGGGCCCCAAACCCCCGACGTCATGATTCGTTTCATAATACCGACCCTCAGAGGTCTCGACCCATTCAGCTGGACCAGTTTTTCATCCTGAATCGTTTCTTGACGGTCCCGTGGGCTGGTAAGGGCCTCCAGAGGCAAAGCATACGGAAAAACCTCTCGTCATGATTTTTTCATTGCCCGAGGGGGTCTGGGGCGGGCGCCCCGCCCAGAAGCGCCTGCAGGCACGCGGGCGGTGCTGCATGGAGGCCTGGTCCCAGCGCGAGGCCAGGCGGCTGGCTGGCAGGCGAGCGGCTTTCCAGCACGTCGTTGTTGGCGCCGACCGCTGGGCCATGACGTGGCTCCCGACTAACGCGGCGTGCTGGCGACAGACGCCGCCGACGCGCTGCGGGCTGTACTGCACCGGCAGCGTGATCACCGAACCCGTGGCTGCGAAAAGGAGGCGGCCTGCGGCCTACCCTCGTTGCGGCGCGGCCGTGGAGGATCTCGAACACCGCACGTGGATACGTCCGCGCAGGGAGCCCGCGGGCGCAGAGCAGCGTTGCATCCGGAGGGGTTCGCTGCAGAAGCCGCCTCTGGGCCTGTCTGCCCCCCGAGGCAGCGCGCACCAGCGTCCCACGGGTGCCCTCGCCTTGCAGCCCTCGCGGGGGAGTCCCAGCTGCCCCTGCCGCTCCCCGCGCTGCCCGACCCGCTGGCTGGCCCCCAGGCAGCCCCGCTGCGTGGGCCGCGCGCGTGGGCGGGCGGCTCCTGCGTGCGCCCGGGCGACCCTCCCCTCGCCAGGGCCGGCTGGGGGGGGTGCGCCTCGAGGGAGGCGCCCTGGGCCAAGAGGACCGCCACGGCCTCGTCGATGGAGCGCAAACATCGCAGCGCGCGGAGGTCTGGGCACGCATGCGCGCGCTGCACATGGCGGGCGGCTTCGTGGAGGTGGTCGCAGACTCCCGCCTCGTTAGCCGCGGGGTCGCAACAACCTTGGCCGGCGCCTGCCTAGCCGACTGGGCGCAAGGACCGCGCAGGCAACGCTGCGGCGGACCGCCTGGCTGGGCTGGCAGCCGAGACCCGGTTGCCCGCGCCCGCCGTGTGCCAGGAGCGCCACCGACAGCTCTACGCGCTGGCCGCGACGCGAAAGGGTCTCGGCTTTCGTCGAGCTGGCGGCGCTGGACCCAGACCCCGACGTCATGATTTTTGTCATAACGCCGACCCTCAGAGGTCTCGACCCATTCCCCGGGACCAATTCGTTCATCCTGAACCGTTTTTTAATGTTCGGCCCCGAGGGCCCGTGCTAGCAGGGCCTCCAGCAGCCGAGAATCCAGAAACACTGTCGTTCTCATGTTTTCTCATTGCCCGAGGGGGTCCGGGTCCGACGTCGCTGGGCGGCGCCGCGCGACGCGCGACCCGAGCTGCTGCTGCCTGCGGCCCGCGCCAGCGGCACGGAGGCCAACTGGCCTTAAGTCGGGCCTGTCCCCCTGCAGGGGTATTTTCTATGTTTTTTGTTATAAAAAACAACAACAAAAAAAAACACCCCCAAAATAGTCCAACAAGAATCCAGCAATAGTCTGGGGACTATGTTTTGAG